AAAAAAAAAACTAAGCCTGTATGTTATTTCCTTTAACACTAATTTGGAGCGAAGGAAAACAAGAAGTTTACCTTTCTACAACATGAGCATTTCATACTTAGCACGTTCCCAATCATTTTCAAATCCCACGGCAGAAAGCTTTCAGGAAGTCTAAAAAAGCATTGCAATAATCCAGAAAAATCAAAAAATCGAGATGCGGCGCACTCAACGCTTCAATGGTCTCGGAGACCTTTCTCCATTTGTGCCGTAGTTGACATCCCATTATGGGAAACGACTAATGACCCCATAAGTTTAAAAAATTAAATCCAAAAAGAAAATGTAGAAAGAAGTGACACGTAGAGCTACCATGATATAATTAAATGATACTTACGAGTAACTGCGCACTTTCGCCAAAGCTATAGAGCACAGTGATGGGAAGGTAGGACTCTTTACGCCTGGAATCCTGAAAAAGACCGAAATGTTGGCAACAACATTATCAAGGAGAACCTCAAACAATATGAGCGTCATTTTGATCTATTAAGCAACTCAAATTTCTTGAAAAAAGGGGTATAGATAATAGTAAGCGCGCATTTCTCACTATGAAAAATACAATAAACTGTCCTCTTTCAAAATTGTGTTTCCACACATTAGCAGAATTCATTCAAGCTATCTCATTGAGAAAATAAGCATACAAAAATGAGTTTCTTCAAGTCAAAAACGGAAACTTACGCAGCAATCATAGGATTGTAGTCGAAGTATAACTTCTCGAAACGCTTCATTTTGAGATCATAAGGAAGACATGGTAATCGATTGTGGTCAAGAAATAAACATCGCAATGGCATGTCAGAGATCTAAAGCCTGCGGATAAGGTATACCAGCAAAAAGGGATCAAGACGGAAGATCCAAAAAAACTTACATCTCTGGGTAGGCTGGTGAGCAAATTGTGACTCAAATTCAAATTCTGCAGACTTCGAGCTTTTACTATGGAATCTGGCAAGGATACGAGCAAATTCTGAGCTAGATTCAACGCCAACAATGAAGGAGGTAATAAATCAAAGAACATTGGCTGAAAAGATGGAAACTTTATATGACTTTTAGACAAGATCCAGATGTTCTAGATAGCTTACCGGAAGCGAATTGATTTCATTTCTTTCCAGAGATAAAACCCGTAAATTCCTCAATTTTGATATAAGCTTGATCTTCGTAAAATTGCTTGCTTGACCAAGACGATTACATGACAAATCTAAGCTAGTCAGCATAGGAAGGGAAAACCATCGACTATCGACTGATTGCAGATCTTAAGGGAAAACCGTATCACTTGCTATGACAAAAGTTGCTCTGAATAGCAATAACTGTTTTAACATACCTAAACCTGACACCTCAAGTGTCTCTAATGATGATGGATAAGTGATACCACGATAGTTATCACTTGATACTTTTAATGATTTCACTACTGCTTTAAAGTCCGATTGTTTCACCTAAAATCATAAACAGTAAATATGTGAAATGATACACACTAGACAACCATACCGTATCTAGCGCTTTTAGAGAGACGTCATCTCCTTTCAGAATCCCTAAAATTTTCTCGAGAAATCGTTGAAGATGTACAGGATTGCACTAAACAGGCATACTCACTGCAGACAGATAAGAACAGTCGATTAATTGAAAGTGTTTCCAAAAGTCAGAGGGAAAAGGTATTCAGTTGCACTAGAGAATTAATCAAGGTGCAAAATTACTTTTTTTCAGATGGATTCAATCGAGTAAGGCAGGACAAAACCAAGTTCGTCGACGCACACTTTCATTTTCATATGAACAAAATGTACTGATGGTAGACTCATAGTTCGAAAATTTCAAAAAAAAAGACTCGGAATTTTCATAACTGGTTGAGATGTAAAGTATAATAAACGCTTAGATTTTGTCGTCTACTCTGACGATCAGATCCCTACTTCATTACAGCTTCCAACCTCATACGGTGGGCTTACTTTTGTTATTATCACTGTTGCCGGAGGATCGATGAAGACTATTGACATGCTGCCAGCAGAAACTCGGTCTCTATGAATAGCTTTCACATTGGTAGGCGTTACCTAAACTGACCAAAGCTTCAGAAACATGAGTACATGAAAAAACTAATTTTTTTTTGTTTTTTAATAGGTTGAGGAATAAGTTCGTAGTGTTTTTTTTTCAAAAACTTTTACTTACACAAAAATCAATGGGTTTAGCAATAAATCAACTAATAATATATTCGCCGTTTCTGTTTACTATCTCTTCCCATCTCTCGACCAAT